GCTTTGAGAGAGCTCCCGGCTATCGTCGTCATTCATTTTTTTTTTCCACCACCACCACCCCCCGAATAATCTTGCTCGAGAGAAAAATCGACCATCAAAGCTTCGCTAATGAAAAGAATACATTTCGTCCTGTTTTCCTTTCCTGTCTACATCAGCGTCCGCGCGATATTATGGGGCCGAGGGCTTGAAGTTAAAGATGACTCGCAACGACGGTTTTACAATGAAATAAAAAAGAAAAAGGTGGACCGTAAAGAAAAGGGGAACGGTAACTGTACACAGTGATCAAAATCTCAAATTATACACGGCCGGTTTCGAGTATATACCGGGTCTTTCGAGCACGAAATAAAGGGGAAATAGCGGTAGCGGAAATAACTCGGATCCGTTGTGGAATCGGCTTAAACGAAAGACGGAACGCATCACGCTATGAGCGTCTTAGTTCTAAGTTATACGTATCTTTACGACTGAAACCAATAAAAAGCCTCGACTCGTTTTATCGGAGGGCTTTTCCGCGTGAGCTTCGTTTCGCCCCGGGGAAAATACTCGAAAATATACAATTAACCGATACCCCGCCCGACTTCGGTGGATTACTGGTCTTTAATTCCAACCCCTAATTCTAACGGGATCTTTTCAGCTAAAAGAAAAAACAGGTCACAGTCGGGCGATAACGAGCAGGTGGAAAAAAACAGCGAAGATAGATGGAGGCAAATGGAAAGAGGGGACAAAAAATACAACCCGGGAATTAACTATGCGTTAATAAAATGAACGGGAGAAAACGAATGCTTCCTACACTTTCTACCCTGTATACAAGTGAACGTGTATTGTTAAAAGAGGAAGAACAGCTACGAATACCGATGCATAATTTTTATTCTGTCACGAGCCGTCAACCCGTTCCAGTTTATTTACTTCCGAAATGTATACTGCTAGAAATTCTTCCCAGGACAGTCTGAGCACTGTCCTGAGAAAAATCCTTTTACGCCATTAATGTTTCGCCCGGTGAAATCCCAGGAGTTTTACCGCGAGATCAAAGCGGAATCCTTTAGCTGACACTTCCAATATTTCGCCAGCGTCCCCTCTAAATGTTCATTAAGCTTATACGCAACTGGTCCTCCAAATTTGGATCAAAGTCCCCCTTCTTTTTTCGGAGGCGAAACAGGACGGAGTGTTTGTCAACGGGATTAGACGACGGCTTTTCAGAACCGTGAAGGAAATTTTTTTTTTTGTGGACGGTTATTTTGATAACTAATTAAAAGAGTACAAAAAAAATTGCTGGTACGAACAGAGAGAAGAGAGATGTTTTCCGATTTATTTCGTTTCTTTTAATGGAAGGTTATCCTACAAGCTTCTACAGTTTCCGAAATTTTAATGAGTTGTCTGAGGTATGCCTAAACAAAAAACACTAGGAACATAACCACCATATTCATATCCTTATGAAGTCATTATGCTGATACTCGACAATTTTTCCACTAAAATGTACTATACTACTTACTTTTTTTAATCCACTAAAAATAAAATTGACAGATGTAAAGTATTAAGCAGCGAGCTGGACTTATGCAACTTTATGAAACGTTTCTGATCTCAGGTAAGTTTAGAGACTCCCCTGATTGCAACGCCGCCGATCCGAGTGTGCGTCGAAGTTACCTCGGCACTGTATGCATAAAACGAATACTCTTTTGATCCGTTTTCATGCGAGCGAAGGGACCACTTCAGATGGAAACGCGTAGTATAGTATCGCCGACGAAATCGCGAAAAGTTTTTCGTGGTTCATTCGCCTGTCTCGGCGAGTTCCTTGGTCTTCGGGATACCGATTTCGTGGAATAAATTCCGAGAAGAATGCGAAATTACCCGTAGAATAGAAAGTTTCTCCCCCGTAAGGCTCGTTTGAAGGGGGAGGGTCGCGCGAACGGGCGAGGACAGGCAAAGGGAAGACCGTGTTCCTTTGTGAATTCGCTTCTGGCAAACACGGGATTCTCTTTTTTCTTCAATGACACAGCCACCTGCTGCCTTTGCGACATATCAGGTTAGTTTCTGCAACAGTTACAAGACCGCTCGAAGAAATTCTCTGTCAACTGCAGGAACACCAACGGCGCATTGGCGAGATAATCGCAGTACTTTGCATCAAAGATTTCGATTTGCTGCAAACGTTGATGAGGTTAAAGTTCTTTGCACCTTGGCCGTAAATTTCGAGCAATCGGCTATGTTTATTTATATCGGATGAATTATGATTTGTTCCAATTATTTTCAACTGTTATTCAAGGTTGTATAACAACAGGTAATTCAAGACACAGAAGGAATATTTCAAACTGTACGTCGATCTGTGATACGCAAATATGAGTTATGTACATATTAAAATGAAAGAATGATGTATGGAAAATCCGTAACAAATGTGAAAACAGACTTTTATATTTCTCTTTGATAGGATTGACTTTAGGACCTATGTCAATTATAAATTTTTCACTCCTCTCGGTGAGTAGGTACTATAAGCTCCGTCAAAACTTTCAGACCCATTCTTTGTTCACCCTGTCTGTTTTTTTATATCGTTGCACTTCAAACACTCTACACTTTTCACAGGAGAGATATCAATAGAACTCTTCAATATCCTTATCCCAAGATCGTTCTTCGTAATTCAACAAACACGATATACACAGACACTTATTTGAAACACTATCACATAATCCAACACGTCCAAATTCACCACCACGACACATTTCCATGTTGTGTACTATATAAATAACATTACTCAGGCCACACAATGGAACATACATCACTCGTCATCGCGTGTTCGAGTTTGCCAGCCCAGATATATGCATCTCAAAGTCACAGCGTTCTATACAGAGGCAACTTGTTATTCGCGGTGATGCCGCTTTACAGCGCGCGTTCAATCGCGTCCCCAGGAACAAAGGGAGGAGAACATTGAATTTGAAGAAATAGAGCGCGACCCCGCATCGTCGACGGGTCTCATTTTAATGAGGCTACAAAGTGGTAACAGAAGTGACTGCGCGTAACCGGAAACGTTCTTCGGGATCGCGTCCCAAGATGAAACGGTGAACCGTGGCCTTTCGAGGGGCACACGGATGGGAAAAATAAAACGAAAAAGCAGAGATGAAGACGTTCCTCTGGGGGGAGAGGAATACTAACAATGCCTCCCAAGGTACTGACTAGAACCGGCGATTGTATTTATACAATTAAAGCTTATCCCCACCCTCTTTCCTTCGTCTCGCCCTAGCCCCAGACGCCGTTAACGCGCCAGTGAAATGCAAGTGGATCGTGTTATGATTATTGCGTTGATGCGCCGTTTCTAATAAAGACACTTCATCCTATTCCGGGTTAGCGAGTCGTAGCTTTATCTCCGACTTCCACAGTACCCTGCGAAACGCTACACTGCACGGAATTGCTATTCGCGATTTCTGCTTTTCTCCGAAACGGAAAATCGATATTGCAATTAGCCCCTTCGCCGTCGTCTTTCCCCGCCCGACAATCCGAGCGGCGTGTTTACCCAATGTAAGGGTAGCGATCTTGGCGCAACCGTACCGGTTCTCGCTTCTGGATGCGCGAACACGTTGTTTCGTAATACGACGGAAGCGTAGACATTATAATAAATAAACAAGTTCCACGCAGAATATACAGATTGCTTCTTCGAAGAAAACTTAATCCCTGTGGCAATTAAAATGTAAATACCTATCCCAAAAATCTCTGATGAAACACAAGGGCGCACTCTAATCTTTTGATGGATTCTTTGGTGATTCTTGAATTTTTCATTGAAGTATTTTTTAAGTAAATGGTAATCTACAACGAAGTCAAGAAAGTCAAATTTCTTATTCGAGCGGTATTCCTTTTTAACGTTTTTATCTTTCGTGAAAATTATGTTATTTTTTCTTCCACACGTTTCACCGCCATTACTTTCCTTAAGTTCAACGAATGAGCTCAGTTTATGGTGGAAGTAATGGTTTTAATAGAAATTCTAGCCCAAAGAAAGTATGGATGTGTTAGAACAATACTATATTTTCTTTTATATTTGAAACATATTTCTTTCCTATTCACTTTGTATTTGAAGCTGCGCGCTGGTGGATCGATATTGCTGGTCGGAGAGACTCCAGGTGTTCTTGATTTCATTCATAGAACGTTGTACACCATGTTCAATGATCGTAAAATAACTCTTTAGATCTTACAAGCGGCACTTTAGTAATTTCTGAGAAACTCATATCTAAAGTGGTACTATATTTCATGATACACCCAGTACGTATCCTAGGGTACTATACGCAACTAGATTCTTCAGGGTGAACAAAATGGCCATCCTAAAAGTATCTAGATGGAACAGAAGGGCGTGAATTTCACATAGTTATATTACACTATACAAATTGATTAATTTTTACAAAGTATAATGATCCACTGACATCAGAAAAATAAAATTGAATGTAATTATAGTTATCGAATATTAAACAAATAATACTTTCTACCCCTTGTATGGTAGCGTAAGAAACGTCACGCAGATTGTAATCACTTTTAGCAAGAGATTTCTCTCTATACTATATTTCTATGGTGTTAATGGGAATTTTGGCTTGGCAAAGATATAGCCCTGATGCAACGAAGGTTTATGACAAGAACTGTCAAAATATTGGATTATTAATTTTGATGGTGTTCAGAACTTTTACATAATGGACTTTTAATAAACTTATAGTAAGTTTAGTTCTTTATAGATGCATATCATCTTCTATTAAAAATACCTTCATTATATGTTGAATTTGGTATTGTTATGTTTCCCATTCAGTTGTTTTAATAATCATTTTTATTGTTGAATGCAATAGCTTTAATTAAACAGTGAATTAACTATGAAAGATGCATGTAAGTTAATTTAGACTATAATTTAATATATTCTTATCTGTAATTGATAATTTTGTTATTTTTGTAAAATATGTAGTGAAATTTTGGAATTCTAAGTTATTTAATTTTTCAATATAATATCTAAGACATTGCAGAAGGAATATTTCAACACAACATTTATGATGTCATCTGTACAACGTGCTTTTACTCAGAAATTAAGTAAACAACATGCATCTGATGTCAGACGTCAGATTGCTACTTCTACCTCATATTCGCGTGATTTATCAAAGAGTGGCAGTTCATTCTCAGGCTTTTCTTCAACAGTATGTCAAGTATCTACTACAATGTATATATTAATTCATGTACTCAAAGCATTTGTAAATATAACAATAATGTGATTTATTCAAGATGTCTCTATGTGAAGTATTAGAGCCATTAGACTATGAAGAATTTCTAGCACAACATCAGTCAGTGCTCGATCGTGATCCATTAAAATCCATATTAGACTTTCCACCTGGAGATGTGGAATTACAAGTTGTTAAAAGGAAAATTAGAACAGAAGAACCAGTTGTTCCTCATGAATCTCTGTAAGATTTTTTTCTCTTGAATCTACTAAAATTTTCATTATCATTCCACTAAATTAAATTTTGTTTCCGTTTAGGGATATTGTGTCTCCATATGTTAGAAGATGTATAGAAACCTTCACTTCCGACTGGGTAGTGGTGCACCGTAAATACAGGCGTAGAGTATCTCCTATTGCAAGGGACAGACTGTTACAGGACACCCCAAGACAAGATTTTGAGGTACTCAATTGAAAATACCTATGTTACAAATGATCAAAACTTCAGTTTAAAATAAATCTAAAATAGGTGGATCAAGAGGACACAAATGGCTCAGGATCACCAAACGAAGAGGAAGATTTACCAAACTGTGGAGATACACCAAGAGGATCTTGGGCCAGTTTAGACTTGAGGCATTCCCAACATGATCCTCTTCTTCCAAGTTTGCTAGATCGTGTGTGTCCAGAAACTATTGACCAAATGAATGAGCAAAAGCGTTCAGAAGACCGGCAAGTGGGTATTAAATAAAGTAAAAAATAGAAAGATTTTGATGATGATAAAATAAATAAATATGATTATTAATTTCAGGAAGGATTATTTCCACTTTATGCACCCCCAGCTTCCCCGGATGATGAGTGGCAAGAAATTAGTATCGCACCAGAGCCCACAGAGCCCTTTTCTCATAAGATTCTTGTGAAATGTCTTCAATTAAAACTAGAATTAGAAGTGGAACCAATTTTTGCAAGCCTGGCATTATATGATGCAAGGGAAAAGAAAAAGGTACTTTCAAATTATTAACTTTTAAACATGATTTCTATCTAATTCTTACTGTACAACTGCAGGTGTCTGAGAACTTTTATGTGGATATGAATTCAGAAGGTTTAAAAAGGATGCTTGGTAGTCATATCGCATACAGTGATGCCAGCACTTTGGCAAGAAATTGCGTTATGAATATTAGCAAACCGAGTCCAGATTTATTCCTAGTTGTTAGACTTGAGAAAGTATTGCAAGGCGATATTTCGGAATGTGCTGAGCCATATTTGCGTGAAGATAAAAATAAGGAAAAGGTAACTGTATATAATTAAACAATCCAATATGATTGTTAAATAAAATGATTAAATTAAAAATAGGTAAGAGCAGCTGCGGTAGCAGCGTGTGAACGATTGGGGCGCTACCGAATGCCATTTGCATGGACCGCTATCCACCTTTCTGGTGTCATAGGAGGTGGTGGAGACACAGATAGCACCGGAAGTGCTGGCTCTCTAGACAGAAAATCGGGGGGCCTCGAACAGTGGCGCAAAAAGGTAGAACCACCGACTCGGAGAGGTTCCCTTGAAAGAAGAAGTTCTGACAAAAGGCGTAGTTGGTCTCCTGATGATTTTGCTAATTGTCTTGACACATTCAGGTGGAGTATTTGATATAACTTCAAAATCTAACGTGTTATTCTAAATATCTAATATGTTTCGTCTTTCAGGCCTATAACGTTAACTGTTTCAAGTTTCTTTAAACAAGAAAGTGAACGCTTAAGGGACGAAGATCTTTACAAACTGTTGGTTGAGCTACGCAAACCAGGTTCCAATTTGAAACGACTAAAATGTCTGCCAGGCATACTAAAATTAGACCTTAGTCCAAGACCTGAAGAGCTGCCCAGATGTTTAGATTCTGATCTTAGAAGACTATTGCCATACCCAGACGAGAAAAGTCGACCAGTAAAAGAAATACTCGAGTTTCCAAGTGAAGTTGTTTCGCCAGATTTAACATATAGGAATCTTCTGTACATTTACCCTAAGGTAAATTAATATTTGTCATATATCTATTAAGTAAAATCGTGGTCTCTTAAGTGAAAATCTCTAATGCTGGTCATAGGAAGCAAACTTCAGTTCTCGAACTGGTTCAGCTCGAAATATCGCTGTAAGAATGCAGTTGATGGGCGGTGAACAAGAAGCGGATGCCCTAACAGCCATATTTGGAAGATCATCCTGTCCCGAAATGACGCACGAATGCTTCACTTCTGTGTCGTATCACAATAAAAATCCAAATTTTTATGACGAAGTGAAAATTCGACTTCCCGCGGACCTGAGCGCAAAGCATCATTTGCTATTCACATTCTATCACATCAGTTGCCAGAAGAAAGTAGAACAACCAAATGTCGAAACTGCTGTAGCATACACGGTAAAAATAATTCACTGCAATAATGTCCTTCTATTGGACTTCTCTTCTATAACTGCTCATTATTATTTTCATTTCACCATAAAAAATTAGTGTTGATCCAACATACTTTCAGTGGTTACCACTTTTGAGGGATGGACATCTACAATCCGGCGAATTTAGTCTTCCAGCAATGTTGGATCCACCTCCAGCCAATTATTCCTACATTGCTCCTGACGTTCTTCTACCAGGCACAAGATGGGTAGATGCACATAGAGGAGTTTTCACGGTGATTTTGGAACCAGTCTCTAGTGTTCACCCACAAGATAAATACATTGACAGGTATAGCTTTAGTATGCCGTTAATTTTGCACATATTCCGTAGCTGGCATTAAGTTGTTAAATTTATAGATTTTTATCGCTATGTGGCTTCTTGGAAACTGGCCAAGTACCGCCACGTATTGGTGAGGCCGGAATGGAGTCAGAATTAAAATCTGCCCTCCTTGAATTGGCAAGGGCTTCACATTCTGCTCTGGTGAGATCACTACCTCAACTATTGGATCAATTGATATCGCTCTTAGTACGTCCTCCCACGTTACCGTCTCAACCACTGAACGTGGCAGCGACAGTCTTCGAGGCTATAGGCCTATTGGTTCGGAATATCACTAATTTACCGGACGGTCAATTAGATGCACATGGACGACACGCACTGTTGGCTACTTATGTAGCGTATCAGTGCTCTCTACCCAGAATGACCAACACTCCAGGTATCGTGAGAGCCCAAAGTAATCCCGATCTACCCCTAGAGGATTTAGAAATGGAAATGCATTCACGAGGGTTGGATCGAACTGCGTCAATGCGCCAAGAATCACCTTCCATAAACAGTCAACCAACTAGAAGACTGTTGCACGAGGAATTAGGTTTACATTGGGTCGTATCCACCGGACAAGCAAGGGAATTAGCAGTAACATATTCATGGTTCTTTTTGGAGTTAATCGTTCGCTCTATGGTCGTAACACTGTCGGAAATGGGGATGTTGGATGCGCCTCGAAAATCAAGATTCTCTCCTCAGTTTTGTGATGACGTAGCTACACTCACAGCAGCATTGACGTCTGAAGTAGTATCTCGTTGCGGAAAGGAGAATAGAGTGCCCAATAATTTGATATCAAGTCTCGGTAACTTCCTGTCTGATCTGTTATCGATAATGGACAGGGGGTTTGTTCTGTCCCTTATTCGGGCTACATGTTGCTCTCTGTCAGATGCTTCTATGCATATTCCTGATTCAGCTGCTTTATATGCACTTAAATTGGATCTCGTTCGAACTGTATGTTCTCATGAACACTACGTAGCTCTCAACCTTCCTTTTGGAACTGGATATACATCAGGATCAGCACCAGCATCCCCGAGTCCATCTACTGGAAGTTCTGGTAGCTTGATATCTACACTTGTCCCTGGAGACCGCGCCAGATTCTCTGAACTCAGTCAGGAATTCAGGCAACAACACTTCCTAGTCGGGATCGTTTTATCCGATCTATCGAACACCTTGGAAATACCTAATCCGATGCTTCAGAATAAAGCTATTGGAACCATTCGACATTTGATGGCGTGCCACGATGTGGACTCAAGATATTCCGACCCTGCAGCTAAAGCTAGGGTCACTGCCCTTTACCTGCCACTACTAACTATCATAATGGATGCGTTGCCTCAACTTTATCACTGGGATTCAAAGGATAAAAGCGTCTATCCAGATGAGTCTGGATCAATCACACACTCTGTAGCTCTGGCTATAGCTGGCGGAGTCTCGGCAGACACGGCAGGAACTCAGTGCAGAGTTTCTTTAAGTTCAGAGGCCACGCGACACCTTTTGATGTGCGTGTTGTGGGTGCTAAAAGGACTGGAACAGTCTGCATTGGCACAATGGTGTTCGGAGCTAAGCTCCAGGCGTATATTGTGCCTTCTTCAAGTCCTAAATATTGCTACTGCAGCCTTTGAATACAAGGGCAAGAGAGCCTTGAAAAGATTACCTCCTCAGGCTGCGGCTACCAGCGACATTAGATCGCGATTGGAGGATGTAATCCTTGGTCAAGGTAGTGCAAGAAGCGAAATGATGTTGCGTAGAAAAGAACGGATGAGTGGAGATAAATTGAGATGGCGTAAGGACCAAATGCCTTACAGGTAAGTCGGGAAAGATGTAAGTAGACTTGCTTCGTGCAAGCGTGTGAGTAATTTTTTATCTCTGAAGATCCTGCGAGCAATCAGAAGGAAGGGCTGTAGAACAAGATGCTCACATAGAAGGTGCCTTAGCAGCAGAAGCTTCCCTTGTAGTTTTAGATACGTTAGAAACAGTTGTGCAGGCTGATGGTGGAGGAGGTAAGCAGAAACTTTCAATATTTTAAATTCTGAACAGTATTTTCTAATTATTGTTCTCATTATTCTTTAAAATGTTGTAGGGGCAGTTGTAGGAGCAGTACTAAAAGTTCTTTTAAGAGCTTTAGCAAGAAATCAGAGTACATCTGTTTTACAACACATGTTCAATACACAGAGAGCTTTGGTATTCAAATATCATAGTGCTCTGTTTGATGAGGAAAGTGAAAGATGTGGTGACCTTTGCTTAACACTGCTTACCAGATGCAGTTCTCCGTTAAGTGCTGTTCGCAGCCATGCAGCTGCTAGTCTTTATCTACTTATGCGACAGAATTTCGAAATTGGCAATGTAAGTGTTGAAAAATATCTCGTATTTTTCATATCCAACTATGACAGGCAGATAATAATTTAGGATCATTTCAGAATTTTGCTCGAGTTAAGATGCAAGTTACAACATCATTGTCAGCTCTTGTTGGAAGGGGAAGAGCTCCCAGTGAAGGTGCACTTAGAAGAGCATTGAAAACGGTATTGGTATATGCTGAGAGAGACACAGAACTAGCCGATACAAGCTTCCCAGAACAGGTGAAAGATCTTCTGTTCAATTTACACATGATATTGTCTGATACTGTTAAAATGAAAGAATTTCAAGAGGACCCAGAAATGCTATTAGACCTTATGTACAGGTAAACAGTCTTTGAAGCAAACGAAACTAAAACAACCTTGAAATACGATGATATATATTTAATGTTATAGAATTGCAAAGGGATATCAAGGATCACCAGACCTTAGATTGACATGGCTAGCGAATATGGCTCAACAACATATGGAAAGAAAAAATCACACTGAAGCAGCAATGTGTTTAGTGCATAGTGCTGCTTTGGTAGCAGAGTATTTACACCTCTTGGAGCCAGGAGGTGGTGGTAGACCAGTAGGAGCTGTTGCTCTATGTCCTGTTACTCCAAATTCTTTAGAAGAAAGTGCTGTAGGTGATGATGTATTGGCCAGAAGGGAAGAAGGCCTGTGCTTAGGACCTGATTTCTCAGAAAGTGGGTTAGCAGGTTTATTGGAACATGCCGCCAGCTCTTTTCATGCGGCTGGAATGTATGAAGCTATACCTGATGTGTACAGAGTTTTACTGCCAATAGCAGAAGCTGCACATGATTACAAAAAATTGGCGAATATTCATGGGTAAAGTATATGTACTCCTTTTACAGAAGTTTGGGATAGAATTACATTGTAATTTATGTTGTTTTAATCACAGAAAGCTTCACGAAGCGTACACGCGTGTTGAACAATTGGCTGGAAAAAGAGTATTTGGCACATATTTCAGAGTAGGTTTTTATGGAGGACGATTTGGAGACCTAGCTGGCGAAGAATTTGTTTACAAAGAACCTACTTTAACAAAATTGCCGGAAATATTTTCAAGGCTGGAGAATTTTTACGCCGAAAGATTCGGCGCGGAAAATATTGTAATAATAAAAGATTCAAATCCTGTAGATCCAAGCAAATTAGAACCAGATAAAGCCTATGTTCAAATCACTTATGTAGAACCGTATTTTGAACCGCATGAACTTAGACACAGACCAGCTATTTTTCACAGAAACTTTAATATCAGTAAGTATTCCTCAAAACATGCTATATGGGCTGATAATAATGTGTTTTATTACTTTAAAATATTTCCAGGGCGATTTGTATATGCAACACCTTTCACACCTGGTGGTAAGGCTCATGGGGAATTGAGGGAACAGTGTAAGCGTAAAACAATTCTGACAGTAGCTACACATTTTCCTTACTTAAAAACAAGAATTCGTGTGGTTGCCAGAAAACAAATAGTCCTAAGTCCAATTGAAGTTGCAATTGAAGACATACAAAAGAAAACAGCAGAGGTTCTTATCATTTAAAGATTGGCTGCATTTTGTTTTTGTACTTTTATCTTATTTATTTGAACTTTTTTAGGTTGCTGCAGCTACAGCCCAAGAACCACCTGATGCAAAAATGCTGCAGATGGTTCTTCAAGGTTGTATTGGAACCACAGTTAATCAAGGACCTGCGGAAGTTGCAGTTGTCTTCCTATCTGGATTACGTGAGCAAAATGCACAGCCTAGTCGACTCCAACACAAGTTGCGTTTATGTTTCAAAGATTTCTCAAAAAAATGTCTGGATGCCTTGAGAAGAAACAAAAATCTAATTGGTCCAGATCAACGAGACTACCAACGAGAATTGGAAAGAAATTACCAAAGACTGACTGAAAGATTGGCCCCCCTAATTGCATGGAGGTATAAGGAATTTCATTTTAAGTCATAATGCTTTTTCCAAGTATTCTTTGTATAACTCATTACATTATTATGCAGTGGACCGTCTCTAATGAATCAACAGAGTGTACCACAAACATCACCACGCTGGTAAAATGACTGAATGCTGCTCAGAATTACCAAAGATACATGACATATGAGTGGTATATTCAGAAAGTATTAGCAGCATAAACTATGTACGAATTAGACATTAATCATATATTTATATATATTCATTTTTTATATCGATAGACATTTTGACCTGCTAATACACAGAATGTCTGCTTCAAACATTTTAATATTAACTCATATGTAATATGTTAAAAAGAATTATTGCTAGTCTTATATTTAGCAAACTGCAATTCTGTTGCTACAAATATTCCAATATTGATAAAACGAAATTTAAATTTCATAAACGCTGCCTTTGAATAATACTAATACAATTTTTATAATATTGAACATAAGTGAATGATATAATAACTGCCTTTAGTAATTTGTATAGCTGAGTTATACATGTAAGTATCGATTCAATTTTTTATTAGCTACATATCAGGTCAGTCTATGAACTCCTACACATTAAATATATAAGTATTTATGTATTTAGCTGCTAAGAAAGCTGTGATCTTTCAATTATATTATATATACATAACAAATATTATCAACCTTTAAACAATTACAGAAACTTATAATAATAGATTTTATACCAAAAAACTGGTATTTTTTATAGAAGCTATGAAATCATTAGTCAGGATGTAACTTATATTTTTATCAAAAATACTAATTTGTTATTTATAAGGTATAAGTTACTAACATGTTAATATGCTAATAGACACATAATATTCCAAATATCTGTGGTTTATATAACCATTTTTTTATTGTTCGTGCTAAAAGTCTATCGTTAAAAGTTTCTCTAATATTTAAAGAAACATACTAACTAAAACATTTGCATAATGCAATAAATAAATTATGTAGTATGTTTTTACCATATAATTTATGAAAATATAATGTTCACATTTCTAAATTTATAACATTCTTAATATATGATAGAGACTTAAAACTCAATGCTTTGTATTAATTTATATTTGTGACATAAAGTTGTTTACTGCAAGTGTGCATAATAATATTTCTATATAAAAAATTCATAGATTTCTTTTAAAAATTACAAAATGTAAACATTGAAAGTATTATTTAATTACCTATAGTAACAGTACACATTATATTTATACATAATTCGGCAGAAGTAAAAAATGTAAACTTTTATATGTCATAACATATTCGAAATATATGCCCATTTTGTACTTCCTTATTTTCGAATTTTTTGTACATTTTAATATGAAAAATAATGTAACTCACCAAACAACAGCCTCAGAAGACGATCTGCGGTTTCTTGGATGCACATACACAAACTAAACAAGTAAAAATACACTAAATATTTCTATTAGCAACCGTTGAAGACCTAGATTTGATCACCCGTTAATAACGAAAATAAAAAACTGTTATAATTCGTTAAAAAATATTAGGAAACTATTGTCATTAGTTACAGAGACTCTTTAAATACTACTAAACAAGTTAACACAATGATACCGATTAAAATTGTTTAAATACTTTTAAAAATTAATTAAAAAACGCGCAGCGGATCTTCACATCACAAAAGACCGGGAACGAAAGACTGTTTCAATATTTTACCCAGCATCCCTTGCGCGCGAACGTTAACATGAGACAGCAGTATATTTCCATCCTTGTCTAACGTGCACACTTCAGAATATACGAAACTCGCGGGATAAATTGAAATTACTTCATCGAAAACATTTTTCTAAATTTAGATGCTCTTCAATTTTTTTTTTTTTTTGATAATGAGATTTTTAAGGTGTATTTATAATATTGTCTCTTGTGATTTCTTCATTCCAGCAATTCAAATCATTTGGAAAGGTCGATCAATCGATTGGTCGATTCGAGGCATCTCGCGGCGTAAACGGAAAGGTCATTTGAATCAGCTCAGTCCGTAACGTGTTAAAGGAAAAAGTGTACGAAAAATTACGTTAGAATTTTGTGTATGTAAAACATTAATGCTTATAACAATCGTAACGGAGACACGATAAAGTAAGTACCCATTTTATTGTTTAATATGGTTTCTTATTAATTAGTAAACACAGTGTTTTTGATGTTATACATTTCTACTTTGGTTTTTGGACCTATGGTATGTCTATCACAAATAATAGCTAAAACATTTTTATGGGAATTATACACTTTTATGACAATATACCACATGAATCAGGAGTATTTTCGGTTTTGTTGTATTCGTTGAACAGAACTCGTTATTTGTGAGCACAAAAATGAAAAAATCCATCAATCGATAGTTTGTTAAGTATATGGTGCTTTAATTGGTTATGTGTAACTGTGTTTTTTTCATTATAAACGTTATTTATCACAAAAGTTATACATCCCTTGTGCCTAGATGTATTCGGAACACGGGTACAGTCCACCGTTACTCTAAATTAAACGTCCGAATCCGATTTTCGACTTAATCCCTTTGTCCGGAACAAAAGGTTACAGCGCAGATAAAGATATCCCTTGCCCAAAGGGGTACTTAATTAACACACGCGGATCAAGTACCGATACTATGTATCAAACGCTTTGTATTTACGTTAAATCTTCAAGCTTACAGCTAAAACGCGTCTACATACATAACGTATGTAGAGCTAATAGCCCTATACGTTTCAATTACAATTGAAACATTAGTGAAATGTTAATTAAACTTCAGTCTTCAACCCTATACAGGATAAGGGAAACTATTATACAGTCATTGGTTTAGACATAAAGAAGTTGGACTTTCAGATGTTAGAAAATTAAGTTTTTCAATATTAGACGAATACAATTTTAGAAATTAGGTAGTAGGCTGTTAGACGTAGTTTCCTTTAAGCTTATACAACTTAAAATAAAATAATTTCTCTATTGGATATGGTTTCATATCAAAACGTTCCGAAACCATAAACTCAGACATAGCACGCTCGAGTATTTACAATATAAGGATATTACACAGTGTACAGCCGCCACAAATTTATTACGCGAAAAGCATAAAAGGGACAAAGGGCATAAAAACGGGAACAGAGAGAAGGGGAATGAAAGTTCCGCGGCGTTGCGTGGATGATTTCGGAAAAATAATATTCCTCGGTAACCCCTGTGGAAGGAATGCAGTCACATAACTGACAGTTCTAAATAACGTTTCGTCCTGTTGTCGGTTACTAATCCGTCTAATCTGTCCCGAAATGAAATAGTTGCGATTCTTTCGGTGGCAGTTCTTCCCCCCTGCTGATGCAGAAACACGACGCGTTTAAGTGGGTGGAACCACTTGACCCCTGGCGACGAGGGGGACCGGTGAACAAGTAGTTCACATCGAGGGGGGATTATATTCAGGGGACAAAAGTGACTGTCGAAGATACGATCATTCTTCCCTTTAATCGGCCACGGTAACGTGCTGTGTGATCTTTGATCTAGCACCCTCGCGCATAGGAAGGAACGTTTAATGAATCCTCGCTGAATTCCTGGCGCCCATTTCACTCGTTAACGCGTCGATCGTCTGCTGCGTTGTGTTTGATCAGGTCGAATATACAATACGCAAAAAAAATTTCGTAGATCGGCGTGTTTCGTGGACCGAGTTCACCTTTTCAGCTGGTCTGCATTAGACCACGTAATTTTCGACAGTTTTCTTTGTATAAAGCGAAGTAACGGCTAAGTCGTGTACGACTATATTCCCCGAGGATAAAGAATATATACACTTTTATGAGGAAACATTCGTGGACAAAGAATCCATAAATGTTACGGAATAATACGCCCAGCGGCCTCCCCTACTTTTCGCATTTTGATTCACCTACGGTGGCTCTGCGACTCCTCCCGGTTCTCGACACGATGGCAGAGGGGGCGAAGCAGAAAGAGCGGGAGGGTGTGCTGACTTTTATTACCCCGTCTGATGTTATGAATGCGAGCTGTACGCAACCCCTCCGCGTACATCCCCCTTCTATTCTGCCCCTGCAGAGCAGTTATGATTTTTTACGACATGTATATTCGTGGTCGCGATTAGCGATAGCTGTAAACCAAACAGGCGATGAAAAATGTCTACAATTCGAGGTGTCATCGGTCTATCGGTCAATATTCTTGTGAGAGATCATAGGTATTTTAAGACATTCTCATAAACACCGCATACGACGAGTTACATAAATCCACGTTGATCATGAATTCTAAAAGGACATCTTCAACGATCTAATGCGTATAATTCGTTAAAATTTACTTCTCACCATTGGTTAATAATTTTTAAAGATAATATAACGTAGAAATATTGTGGTATCAGGAATAAGACTTCCAGTGCTTGTTCGAAGTGACTCGAATGGGGTGTTCGTTTATGCCCACCGCTAGCCATCGTCTGAATGAGATTGCATCGTTATTGAAGCTCTTCCTGCACCAGTCCGCGACCCGTGATCGAAGTTATGATGTATGGTGTTTGTTCCGGAGATGCAGGTGCAGTCAGAACGTCCACATTTCCCGCGACTAATCGTACCGAAAATATTTGTATGCTTCTCACCCCTTAATAACGGGAGCATCGGTCATGCTGTTCGGTGACGGGAGACAGCGAATCTCGGAAGAATATTGCAATTTGTAGCGGCAAGTCGTTTCGTCCGACAATAAATTAAACGGTGGCCACTTGTTATCGCATCTACAACGTTAATTGGACCGACAAGACGGGGCAGGCCACTTCTGGAACGCGAATCACCCTAGAAATCTCCAGACTCCCTGTCTTTTTTTCTTGCATTCGAAAATTTATTATACTTTGATATTTCCCATATCGTTTAATTTCCTTTGCTGTTAAGAAATTTTTAAAAATGTATTCTCATGGAAAATATTAAAAACAGGGCCTTAATTACTACTCGCATCGGACGGAATAGCTACCTATAATATTTTACCGTTTGCTAATGCGAGTTACAGATCCAGTCATCGTTCGATATGAATCCGTGGCCAGGTTACTGGTATGCTACACGCGAAGGAATGCTCTTTGATCGTACCGACATTTCCTGTGATCACGGCCTCCAACGCATCGTTGCGATTTCACCCTCTGGTCCTTGAAAAATGCGAAATATTAGAGAACGCATCCCTTCCAGAACTCTATAATTTCGTTGACAAACCTATAAAGAAAAGATTCCACGTGTTCGATTGAAAACAAAATTCTCGTGAGAAAGACATTCTGAGGAAATGCTAGAGTTAACAGAAACATTCCAAGTGATAAAGTTAAGAGGAACATCCATAATTCCCGTTCATCCTCAAATTTAGTAGGGAATATTCAGATTTTTCCAACCGATTGGATAGCGACAGAGCCGCGGAATAATTGGTACAAATTAAAATCGAAAATGACCCCGATCGGCGACGATATATAATGGTCCGTTGGCAAATGGAAAACCGATGTGAAGGACCATCCGAGTTTTCCGTTCTGAAACCATTCAATTACAAATATTTGAACGTCGATTATCCAGTTTGCTTGTGCCCGTTTTGGACGTACAAAAAGCCTCGTATAATAACAGGTAACGTTTCCCGTGGTACCGCTTTGACATAATTTCGCGCCGGTTACACCAATTTCCGGATCCTCGTTTCCAATTGGTCGACCTCGAGGGTGCTCGGCAATTAGCAAGCAGTGGGTGTGGGGGGGGGGGAGGAAAAAATCCGTGCACGCTCATAATTTCATAAACGGCCGCCGCTCCTGGTGGAATGGGGGGAGGTTGCTGGCGGAAAAGTAATAAAAAAGCGGGGGCGGAGAGGATCTCGCGGCCCCGATGCCATCGGCAGCCGCTCGAACGAGTTGAATTCTTAGCCGTCGGTTTTTAATCTCGAAACGCACGCGGGCCGTATCCATCCGCGGGCTTACGACCACCGAAAAAGCTGGCCCGCAGGATTTATGGAAATTGGTAGGGGTGTATGTATATGTGTCTACACTGCGGCCAGGGGGGGGGGTTGGAGGCCGGCACAAGCACACAACACACCGCCGATTTTAATATCCGCGAATGATAAACAAAGTGGTATCTAACGAAGTGGATAGAGGCGCGCCGTAATAAAATTTGTGTTGCGCTTCGTCGCCGCCCGAGCGGCAGGGAAACGTCACAAGCGGTTTCCTCCGATTTCAATTAGCCGCGAGCGACCCACCCCCAGCCCGACCGCTAGCCCCCTCTGTACACGCGTATCCCTGGGTTTTCAGGAGCGGGGAAAACGACGGAACAGGCCGAGAAACGGTTTACCAGGGTATTTATTTATTCTTTAGCCCGATACACGACGACAGGGATTTCTGTGCCTGGTGAATTCAATTGACTTTGCGCGAGGGATTTATTCGGATTCGGGGGTGGTTCGTTTCCTTTTCGCGTATAAATGGAAATCTCTCGATTGTTCGATAAATCTAGTGGATCTTAGGATAACAGTTCGCTTGCTTACTGAACGTATTGTCGTATGCATTTGTGGAAAATGAATAAAAATGAATTATTCGACGGGTACTTGGAACTTGGATTAATTACAGTGGGCGATCAAATTATTAGTCACCTGCGTAAATTGACGATTTTACGATTTTAAGTGTATTTTTTATAATTATAGAAGCTAAGGTTAATTTGTGTATACTTAGTGGGCGATTTTTAATTAGAAATCATCCACTGTGGAAACCTCGATACATATTATGATTTTATTTCTACACAAATATGAAAGAACATATTTTTCGTACTCTGGCTTTAATAATTTGATCGGCCACTGTATCTAAGTAACCATTACAAGAAATAGATTATTCATATACCTATATTTATAGTGTTACCTTGCATTTAATATAAAAAAGAGAACATCCGAGTAACAAACCGTACAAATAATTTAACGATGAGAGTGAAAAATTTTTTCATTAAACTCCGAAATGTATCCTGTTGTGATATTATCTGCATACATTTCGGAACAACCAGCAGTATCGGGAAAAGAAAAATCTCGGCGCGGAAACGCGGATGAAAATCGACGGAAAGAGAAAAGAGTGGAGGTGATAAGCTTCGATATCTCGAGCTACACCCCCCTACGCGAGATGTAAGCTCCGCCTATCCCTGGGTTACACCAGGACTTCCAAGACCCCCTGTGAACCCCCCGCCCTCGAAAAGGGGGATAACCCAACCCCCGTTCCATCGTCGTTGGCATCCGCGGCATTCCAATTAGCTCGCGAATCAAAAGAGCCCCACTGCCTTTGTGGGGTCTCACCCTACCCCCGGCCGGTAAACTGTCTCCTTTCCTCTTCCACCCTCCCTCCCTCCACCGTTCACGGTTTCACTTCTCTTTCGCGGTGGCTGGTTCGTCCCTTTGTCCTTCTCTTTCTCCCAATCATCCCCTCGCTTTCTTCGTCCTGCTTTCCCCCATTTTCCGCTAACTGTTCGTGCTCCCTTTTTGATTCTATCCTCGCACTTTTATTTTACGATACGTGTTCTATCGTTTTCTAGGTACAATTTCGACTTGCGTAAAATTGTCTTCTCGCGGGGTGGGGAATTCTACATCCTTCGTTCGTGTATCTAGTATTATTTTTTTGTTTGTTTCTGGATGTTTAGATTTGTGTAATACACTTAGAAGCTTAGAAACCGATCTACACCGGGTAGTGAACGATTTTTTTAGGTAATTATGTTCATCACAAAGTTTTATATTAGAGGAAACGTTGATCATTTAATAGCTCTACGTCGTTTAATGTTTAGTAACTCTGTGTAAACACTGATCATTATTGTAATCATTGCATACGTATCATGCAGATTTACGTGTCAGCTCGAGACTTTATTAATGAGATTAAGACCAACGTAATGTAAATTCGCGAGCCGTTGGTATTAACAACAGATTAGAGTCGAACCATCAGCGAATCCAATCGATATCCCCGATGCCCCTGTGCGATAGCAAAGTCCGTACGATTCTCTATCGAAGGTCCGCTTTCTTTGTAGCCCTTTTGACATGGGTCGACGGCTAATTTATCACGGCGACAAAAGGGGTGCACGTAACGAGCGAATATTAGTTACCAACGTCATTCACGTCAGATTTTTCCATAGAGGAATTACGCTGGTTGACGGACGCGTGTACGTGCAATCAACGACTAACCACTTTGTACCTGTTTCCCCGATTGTCGTTCAGTTCATGTTGATCTGACCCGCTCGTACCAGGTTGTAGCATGTCAAACTTCAGTTTTCAAAAACAATCTTGGACCGATTCAACGAAAAGTAGTTCCGGAGGTCCCAGTTTGTAACTTGATAAATAAGCTTTCAAAGTTTACATCATGTACTTCGATCCCCTCTAGAATGATAACTACGTTTTTGGTTATCGCCACCACGCAACAAATAATATCCGCCTTTCATCGCTCAGATATAATAAGGATATTAAGTTTAATTGAACAAAGCGCGGTCTTCCGGCGCCACGAAAGAACGGGACAGCCATAGCACGTTATTAATATTTAAACAAAAGCCTCGGCGAGAGATTCTCTGCCTTTGTGGGCCTGGCAAAAAGCCCCCCCACCCCCATTCTTGTGGCGGAGGGAATAAAATCCCAGAAAGACCGTGAGACGCAGCACTCATTAATTACTGCCAATTAGTTGGAGGAAAAAAAAGACACAAGGTTTTCTCAAGCTTAATTGTTGCCTTACCACCAGCTTAGCTGTCAGATATTTTTTGCCTTTTTCTATCGGTTCGAAATGAGAAATCTTCATCTGCAATCGAGATCCTATAATATGAACGTACAAAAACTATTAGGAAACTTACTTTTATATTTCCGTTTCCTACAAACGTTAGCTCCGCAATAGTGGAAATTACTATAAAATATTTAAAAGTTGATAATAGGATGAATAATTTTTAATTGTGTATAGTTGTGCTTTCATCTTTTTTACGGTAAATTATATTAAGTAGGTACTTTTCTGTATTCATCAATTAAACTTCATTCATAAAGGATATCACGTAGGGGGTGCAGGATGAAATGACAGCGCTTCATATACAGATTCGAAGGTTTATTCGTTTGCAACATGTACGCGGTACGTGTACACAGAAAAAAAACACACACACACATCATTGGTGTCACGTATATACAATTGATTTGGTGCCAAAGAGAACGGTGCTGAGGGCGAAGATCATCATACACCGAAGGACCGAAAAGCGCGAGGACGCATTGTCAACTCTAGCCCGGTTAGCTTCGCCTATTATGTACAATCGTGCTACTTGTGCTCTTACGAAATTCAGAGGGTTGAACGCGCGTTAACGTCTACACGGCTCGAGGACAGTTACAAAAATATATATTACACAACGAGTAGTGGGGGAGGGGGGTAAAACGATCGAATAAGAGTATTACTATGCTCGCGATATATTCTATCATAGATTTTCACGCCCCAGTGCCATCCACGATAAAATTACAATCAACGGGGGACTTTGGTTTCTACGTACGTACTCGATCAGACACATTTAAAACGTACACACCGTGTGACAGTGTTCAAACGAGGAACGACAAAATTGTATTCGAAAATACTTGCATCAATCCGGAAACAATTAAATTAGAGATCGTCGATTCCAAAAAATGTCACGATAATGTTTCAGTTTTCAAATGTCTTTAGAACATTCGAGCTTTCACATCACAGTTTCTTCGATTCGTCATGATCAGCCTGACACTTTCTCCCGGTGTTTCGATTAGTCTCTAGAGATACTCTTGCTTCGGTGGATCAATCTCGGTCGTAATTATTCGTCGTATCGTGACGAAACACGTGGCACAACGTACGAAATGTTTGGAGAACGTTTAGATTTCTCCGGATCCATGGTCTTTCTGTGGTATCTCGATGAAGCTCGCGTGTACTCGTTCGGAAGCTGGTCGATACAGTCATGTTCGGGTACTTGGTAGATCGTCGGCGACTTCACGTCTCGAGATTTACGGGATTTCATCGGGTATTGTGAGGGTGGGATGTCGCTGACGCCACTCGTGTCCTTCGGATTGTGCCTCCAGTTGTAGCGGGCACAGAACATCTGCTCGTGGCTGTCTGGCTCGTCACCTGGAAAATTCGTTGTTCGCGAGCCTAAGAAGCGTTGAAGTCTTTCACTTGAACATTTAAACATAAATTTCGGAAATAATTATCGATAGACTGCGGATCTTGTGCATTTACACCGTACACGATTGTCTAGAATGCAGTGTAGTTAAGAGTTTCGTAAAATTTGTATGTACATAAATATCACTTTGTTTTCAATTAGAATACTATATGTTATACTATTACTATTTTCTTTGCAATTGTTGAATATTTGTATTCAGTGGTTGAGTAACTGTGACAGAATTACCGATTGGTCCCTTGGTAGGAAAGCTGACGCGATCATCGAATCTGCAGCTGGTCTTCACAGGTGACTCTGGTCTCCTCTGCGTCAAGCTGCCGCAGCAATTGCACTTTCTTGTTTCTCCGAGTTCCGTCTCTATCAGTTGGTCGATTTCCGTTTTCGTGCGGGCTCGTCGAGTCTGGACGGACATCGGTGTCACGACATAACGATCTGGCTCGCCTCTGGATGGTGACCATTGATGATAGTCCGTGGATCTCTTCAGTAGATTTTTCTTGGATGTTCGGACGAAGTCTTCTTCTGATAAGGGCTCGGGAACCTCGTGCTCAGCGACATTGTGATAGTACCTAATTACCAGGCGATGCTTCTAATTAACCACCCTCCAAACGACTGTGATGAATAACTCACTTCTGTTTATCACAGAAATGTACAATGACATAAGAAGTCACTCTAGCTAGTGTCTTAAAGGATAATGTCCATAAATAAACAATTTTGGTAAGTTATACGTGTTATAAGTTTATCATTTCTAGGTTTTTTTATAAAAAAAAGATAAAGCTATAGATGTTGATCACGTAATAGGCAAGAAATAATGGAAGCAAGTATTGGTCCTCAAATGTAAAGTAGAAATGATCGATGTTAAAGAATCATCGAGTTACGATAGAAATGATATATAGTACATATATAAATATATATAGTATGATATATAGAATAGTACGAATTATAAAATGCAGCGTTAAATTTTATGAACCTCGGAATTAACGAATGACCTTGGCCCACAGCCAAGACACGTTGCTGGCAGCGATGTCGTCGGGGATCTTGCTGCTGGTCGGTGGCTCTCCATCGTGGTTGCCTCGCGTCCGCCTCCTTCATACTGGCTCTCTGAGCTCTATGAGTCTGTGGAGACGGGTCGGATTCCTCGTCAATTTCATCGTCAGCTTCCTGCTCGTCGTACTCCTTATTTAGGAATTCGCCTGCCTCCGCGTTATCGTCCTCTGTCGCAGGAAGTTTCACATTTTACAGATTTTTTACAGACACTACATTAATCCCTCTTCAATCTAATCACCGACAAAAATATCAATTCTCATCTATTTTGTTGAAATGTCTTTTGTATACTCTGATCAAACCAAAATAGCTTTCATTTCTTTTTTTTCGTTTATTTTTACCTTCGTCCTCCACCTCCTCGTCTGCGTTATCATCAGTAAAGTTCCCCAACTCCTCGTTAATGTATTTGAACTTTTCGGTGTTCCCTAACTCGTCGTCGTAGCGAGGTTTGCTCTTGGTCGAGACATTGGGAGTGTAATGCTTGTCTCTGCCGAGTTTCGAGTGACCCTGCAGACTGCGGTGTTGCGATACCTCGCCAGCGTGAGGCGAGACACACCTAGGGTACGTTGGATTGGAGCACACGTGTCCTTTCGTTGGTTTGTAAGAAGTCGAAGAGGAATAGTAGCTGACAGGTGCTTCCGTGTTCCTTGAGAGCATTTTCACAATTCTATTGAAATCTTACGGACTATGAAAAATTTCTAAAATCTAAGAGTCACGAATTTCTTAAAATTTCATATTTAAAAAATGAATATTGTACATTTACATCGGTGAAACGCCTACCTGCCATTTCTGTTAAACGAAAGGGACTGGCCCTTCTTCTGTTGATAATTCCAATACGAATCAGGCAGATTCCTACTGTCGGAGAACGACTGGGACGTATATTTGGGCTTGTAATTTTCAGCCGGTTTCATTATTGCGATTTCTTCGTTGAATATTTAAGAATTGTCCTTTCACCTTTTTTATACACCTACTCGACAAGAATTTACATGTCCTATCACGATCTTCCTTTTTCTCGCGCCCTTTTATTATTGCGTTATTACTCGACGAGCGTCTTAGAAACCGTCATCGAGCTCGAATTTTAATCAATTGGTTCGAAATACTCAACAATGTTTGTCCGTTCCGTTGATTATGCGTAGATTCAGTGAGTGTTAGCGAGGTTTAATAAACGAACATCCACTACCCGTGTCCCTTCCTCGAGATCCTCGATCAAGATCCACGATCGTCGTCTCGGACTTCTATCGTTGTTCTACGAAGCTTCCTTTCACGTAATATATTCTTCAGGATTAATCGAAACGAGAGATCATCGGGATTCACATACAGAAATAATTAAAAAAGAAACGTCAGGTGTGTTGGGGATGCTGTCAGAGCGTCTTTATCATCCAGGAGAATTGTCCGTTGACGATCACCGAACTCTCTTCGATTAATCTGATCGTGTACGAAATAGGTCGGTCATATCTGGGATCGAAGAACGGCAACAGCAACACCAAAGGGGGAACGAGGAAACAGATTAACGCTTCTTGATCGAGGAACACGGAGTCGTTTCACCATTTGTCGGTCTCGTTGCTGTCCTCGTGCTCCAGCGACGAGGTCAGCGTACGCTGGAATTCGTGCACCCTCTGACTCTGTTGCTCGTGATGGTGTTTCCGCCACTTGATCCGTCGATTCTGGAACCAGACCTTCACCTGGGCCTCTGTCAATCTGAGTGCGTGCGCCAGGTATAGCCTCTCCGGGCCGACCATGTATTGTTGACGCGCAAATTCGCCCTCCAGCCGTTCCAATTGTTCCGCGGTGAAAATCGTTCGCACCCTCTTCAGCTTGCCACCGCCGCCGGAACACGAGCTCGAACCTCCGTTCTTCGTGCCGCCTTCCTGGCCTGCAATTGGACAATCGATATTGGGGACCGAATGATTTCTACACGATCTGTCCGTAATGTTCCCGGAATAATTCAATAAGGGACAGACATTTTGCAGGTACACAAAATTAATTCTTCGTGAAAAGTTTCCATTTCTATATAAAAAATGAACGGTGGTACCAGTCGTCTTTTAATTTATGTGGGAGGAATCAAAATAGATCGTGCGAATGGTACGTGTTCACCGGTATAATGATTAAAAATAAAATTTGATTTTACTGTTCACTAATGGCAAATCAGCTTTTTAAGATCACGAAATTCTTGAAAGCGTGATGACTGATTTTCGTTGTCGAAGATATGTATAAAAGATAAGAGACTGGATAAGTTCTAATTGATATTTCGAAAGTTGTACAGGTTATGGAAATGTCACGGAGTAATTAATTTCTCTATTTTTATACCTCACTATTACAGTCTCGTTGCGAGAAAGAGGCGAAAATTTGAGGATACGATTAGTTCACAATCCAAATTTGTATTGATTCCAAATCCTCGCGGAGGGGAACAGAAATTTGTCTGCCTATAAGCACAAAATCCATACGAAAATTTTCACCGGGCTGTACAGGAATCAACAACCATTTGTTTTGAACTGAAGTTCGCCTGCGGTGTGCGCTGTCTTGAAAATTTAATTCGTTCGGTAAAGTTTGTTAGGTATTATTAAATCAAAAATCTGACTTTCCGCTGATTTCCATCTATAATAGCTGCGATCATTAGACCTACATAAATACATGCAAGAATCATCGTCTATTGTTCATTCGAAATAATGAAAATCGAAAGAGAAAGAATACTTCGTATAAATACCCTGATGTTTCTTGTACTGTTGCTGCTGTCCTCGTTTCTCCCTGGGATTGTTCCTCAGTCCCAGAATAGCGTCGATAGTGAACGATTTCGCTTGTTGTTGTTGCTGCTGCTGCGAGTGTTGCATTTGCGTGATGGAATGCGGATGGGACAGTTGGGAGGTCAGATTCTGTGCGGACAAATCGGTGCCCAATAAATGAGACCGTCTCATCCGTTCCAGGGCGATCGCCTCGAGGTTCTGGTTCCTCGGTTGCACTTGGATATTTTTGAACTCGTTGTGCTCCAAAATCGGTGGATTCTCCAGCAGACCGGTCGCACCGCCGCGAAGTCTCTCGAGAGCGAAATTACCGATCTGACTGTCTCTCATACGGTCCAACGACAGATTGAATTCCTTCATCCGGTCGAGACTGTAATTCTTCAGGAGCCCGAACTCTTTGATGTCTTTCTCAGTCACCGCGAAATTCAAATCCTTACCGTACCTGTCCAATGACAACGCAGCATGAGCGTTCTTTTCGCGTCCCTCTCGAAGATTGAACAAAAGATCCTTGGCCGTGGGATTCTTAGACCTGCAGAGGCTGCCCGCATCCAATGATTCGTCGTTCTCGTTCGATCTGTCCAGGGGATAGGTCATCTCGTTCAAATTACCCGCCGTATATCCAAAGTTTTTGCTCTTGTTCAGAGCCATTTGTAAATTCCTCGTAGGGTTCTCGAACTCCTCGAAGTGGATCCTTCCGGGTTCTAATCCTAAATGAAAGTCTTTCGGTTCCACGTTATCCTCCTTTGATTTATCCACCGATAAATTCAGCTCTTTGACTCTTTCGTAGTCTTGAAATGCTCGCAGTTGGGTTTCCGAGTGACTGGACTCGCTTCTGCAATCGGACAGATCCTCCACGGTCAGCCGTCCCGACGGATCGCTGGGCTCCATGGTCGTCCTAAATGATTGTATTCGTGCACGATTCAATGTTATCGGAGAACCAAAACAGTCTTACCTAAAATATCGATAAGTTCACCGTAGAGTAACTATGGATTCACTATGATCTGCGATCCAACCCCGTAATCGTTCATCATTTTCCAAATCTACCCATTCGAAACTGCGAATAACTTCAATCACTGGACACTCGGTCGCGATACACGGTTCGTCGTAAGACCTCGCGCACTAAAACCATCACTCGAATCGCGAAAACGACCGGGAATTCGGATCCTCGACGGTCCAAGTGTCGCGTCGTGTCTCGTAGCGCCGACAGAAACGGGAAAAACACGAAGAACGGAATGGGACTGAAGGATGATGAGGGCAGGCTCCGTAGGATGGCCGAACCGCGCTGGCGCTGCACAGCATCCCAGGATAATGATGTCAGGCACGAGGATCACCGCTATCAGAGAGGGTTGGCCAGCAGGACTAAGGATATCCGGCTAATGATCCCGTACGTGACGAGGGGGGTATTCACCCGGCGGTGCATCCCCCGGCTGCTGTTCGCCACTCTCCTAACAATCAGTCCCAACGTTGCGTTTCACCTCCGCAACCCCCAAATGGACCGCAAAACACCCCCCCACGTCGCGGTCAATATTTTTTCGTTCGACGAAGGAAGCCAGAAGCGCGGCTGTGCCGGGAGCACCGATTGGCCAACGGCTGCCATCACCCTGCCGCCTAGACACGCCCACGGTGAGCATCGTGGGGGTTATTTGCGGGGAGTCTGTTACTTTTTTTCCACCCTCCACCTCAAACCATCCAGCCACGATCCAGATCCGAAGGCATCTGCTCTCGTTCTTCCTCTCGTCCTCTTCTAGGCCTTGCGTCCTCTCCCTCCCCCCTTCCCGAGCCCCATTAATAAGCTTTCCCGTGTAGACCAACTCACCCCCTAACCCCTAGATCCTCTATCTCGGGGAACAGTCTCACCAACGACCGTGCACACTTCCCCTGGATCTGGTCTCGTGACACACACACACACACACGCACAGGAACAAGGAGGACGATCCAAGCAAGTGTCTCACGTCTTCCTTCCAACGATGTCATCCGCGTCTAAGACGTTCCGGTAATTAGGTAGCCGGTCTAATGATGATGAGGTCGTTTAATTTTGTCCCGGTGATCTTTCTTGCGTCGCAGCGGATTGAGACAGTCGCCGCTGATGAATTCACTTGGTAGACACGATGATTCCTGGCTTGGTTATCTTCCGATTACTTCCCAGTAGTATTTCGTTTACTGTACAATGGTTTTGGTAATTGTAATTATAGTGGTAAACGGACGACTTTGTTAGTGTGTTTTGAAGTTTGTCTCGATGAGATCTTGTCTTCGGAGAAGTGTGTAACGTGGAAATTATGGAGCACATTTGACTTGCAATTAGCCACTTGTACAATAGGATACTTGCTCCCACTTCTTCACGCTTAATGAACTATAGAATTATTACCTATCTTTGAAAAAATATATGGATTATATAAGCTATGAGTTGATGTTCACACGATTATCACCTATAGCAGCATGATTCATTGAAGAATATGGAAGTTTGCTATTATTATATGTATACTCGTGTCTCAGACATGCAGCAGATACGTATTGCCTAATTGCCCCTTTCCAGCCTGAAACTTCATCCACAATCCCCTCATTAGACGTTGACGGGTATGCGGGAATTTCCGTACCTCGGAAAACCTCTAAGAAGCTTAAGCTCAGGGGCAAGAGCTTAATTACGTCAAGGTTTTACATTGCGTTGACTTTTCTCTCCTCGTCATTGTCTTATACCACTTCTTATCCCGTTTTGTCATATATCATAATTAATAACAATTAATTACATTCAAAAATCAGAGACTTAAAGTGTTTCTCATAAAATCTGTTTTATTTTGAAAATAATATTGAATATATACTTCAGAATCCATAATCAAGTATATTCAATACGTTTTTTTCCATAGCCTTGTTCATTTTTATTATTTCGGAAGTACAACTTGTACGAAACTATTCGTTACGTGAAATACAAATTACTAGACGCCACCACCGCGAAGCCATTATGAAGTTGAGATTGAAACTATAAATCCCAAATTTACTTCGGCGCCTCCTTGCATATTTTACAAAACCGAACAATGGATCCGTGTAATTACGTCGTATATTTCCCAGGTCGCTAAGTTCCCGTACAAGCCACCGAGTAGTTGAAAAGGCGTCATAAAATTAAACACGAAATTGAATTTTTAATGGCCTTGGTCTCTTGGCTTGAACTAAGAACAACCATTACCACTATATCATTCTACAAAGCTCATTTAAATACAATACAACATATCTTTCGATTACGGGAAACTAATACAAAATTTATATTTTTCAGTAGAGGAAATAGTTCTACACTATTTCTCGAGAATGCAAACATAAACTAAAATATATGAAATATTTCCTGGTAATTTGAAAAATAAAATACAAATACTTCATTTCGATTCTGGTGAATTATAATTGAAGATAGAATAGCTTATTTTCTATTTACTACTTTCTAGAGGTAATGTATACAGGCGACAATGGAAGAAAAGCATCCCTTAACGTTCACGAGCGTTCGTAACCTTGTTCCACCCTGTTTTCCACCACTACATTCAAAGACGGTAATTATTAGCTTTCGACTGGAAGAAGCTCCTCTCGCCGCCAGACACGCAACATTGAATGAGATTAGCGACAAATGTTTAAATTAAACTGCTACGAAGCGATGGAATGGGGCGGGGGGAAGGTTGGAAAGAATTTCTATTGAAGCCCGATGATACCCACCCTCTTCGAGTCTCGACCAAATGACTTGCGACTCACCCTTATTACGGGCGGAAATTTATCACGGAAATTTCGGAGAGTATTTTACCCGGATAATTGCTACGCTTTATAAGAGCCACCCTTACGAGCCAATATAGAAGGCAAAGACGACGATCCCAAGGCCGAGAGTTTCGTTCGCCTCGCCGAATTTCCCACCGCCACCCCCGAAACGATCTTTAATTAGTCCACAGGCGTTAAAAATGAACACGCCCGGATGAACGAGTAATTTCATCTTTCCGCTTATTTGGATGATTGTTAATTCAATCAGAAAGTGTGGGCGTCAGGTGTAGTTAATATATTCTGTGAAATGAAAATTTACAAAGCTTGTATACACATATTATTTGAATGTGACCAGGAATATTCGATACATTTACAATCCTCTTTTTTTAAATTATTCCATTACAGCGGTACAATTGATACAGAAATTCTGTGCTCAATTACACTCTAAGCTTGCATTCTCAGCGTACATGTACCCGTTAGTGACCATATATATCGAGCAACTGTACAGAGTGTCTCAGAATAAGTGGGAAATATTTTCCAGGTGGCTTCAGCACATCAAAAAACAATAAAGAAAATGTTCATATGAACACACGTCCTATTTGACTTCGTTTTCATTCGTACTTGATTTGGAACCAAAGAAATCAACAAACACCAAAAGCGTACAGCCAAACTTTCGTGAACATGGTCGCGGTTACATCTCGATCCGATGTAACAATGTGTCCCGTTCACCACTCGCGGCGTCATCCGACGATGACGTAAATTGACTCCGGACATCGATCAATCTCTGTTACGCTTCTCTCGCAAGCGTCCAGCTATCGGGGTACCTCGATAATCACGGGGATCATTAATAAAGCAAACGAACCTCGCAAATTGCCCTCCCCCGAAAATCGAATATTACCGTGCAAACAAGCCCGTTGAGGCAGCCGCGTAAAATCCGCGTTTATGCACGCATACACCGAGATCCAGCATTCGGATGTATGTGTGTATGTAGATGTCACCAGATAGGAACGCAAACACAAAACGGACGCGCAGGCAGCCTCTATTCCCGGTTTCTCCGGCGCATTCTACTCCCTTATCGCCCTCCACCCACCCCCGCAGAATCCCCTCCAGTCCAAGTACCAGTTCTCATTCCACATGCAATATTAAAGCTGAGGCAATTAGCGGTGGGGGGTTGCCGCGGAGAGAGGCGGCGGATGACGACAGTTTCAGCCACCTCTTCGTGGCGGTCCGTTTTGGTGGGGTTGCCTCGAATATGATTGGCTGTCACAGGGGTTAATCCCGGGGGAGCCAGCCACACCCCGCCACGTCTCAATCCACCCCCTACCATCGTGAATTTCGCACTGCTGTTCCAGCCAGCTCGGGAACATGGAGAGGGGGTTGCTCGAAAGGAGGCTTGTCTTGGCAAAATGCAAAGGTTGGATTGATTGAGATCTTACAGACGGCGATCCCCGTTCGCGAGGAAAAACTTGATGGACTCGCTAGGTACGTGGCGTATCACTTGGAACACGGGGAAGCTTGTTAATGGGTCTACAAAGTCGTTTAAGGGAAGATTTGAGCTTTGCTGAGACTTGTATTAGGTGGTTGTTGATGAGATGAGCGGTTTTAGTGATGGATCCAATTGATTTATGAACGAAGATAATATAGCTACGTTTTTTATTACACAGTGTAATTCATTCATTTGAAGGTACTGCGTAATATAATAATAAAATCAATTATGTTAGATTCTGAAAGTAATTAAGGTAGAGAATCAATCTCGTGTTTAAGTAGAAGGGCAGTTTCAGATGAAAAGGGGTGGTTTCCCATTCAAAATCTAAAACGTAGCACCAAGTACGGAGGAATTATTAGGTTGGTCCCATGATTGATTGTGAAAAGTTACAGAAAAATCAACGTGTATCACTTTGCGAACTTATCAGTTAAATAAAGATAAATGGAGTAAGTTTCAATTGTTAATTGGAATTCCGTAAGGCTAACGTTTTCCGCGGCTTTTTCGACGATGGCGTTGCACTCAATAACACGAGCATAGAGGCAAAGTTTGCTGAAAGATGAAAGAGGAATCCCGACCTCTATCTAATAAGAGAACCGGTAATAAAAGTACCTTGCCGGAAGGAAGACGAGAAGATGGGTAGAGGAACGAAGACGAAGAAGGTGGAATCTCGGATCGC